AGTTGAACCGGTGACTCCGTAAAGTAGACTGCCCTCCCCAGTGCGGGTGGGCATCATCCAATTTGTCGAGGGCTTGCATACAACAAAAGGCGGCAGAAGGAGGAATTTGTCTTTTTTTCCTGCCTCACTGCTTGTGCTGGGACATCTCATTTCATTTTTCTCTGGCCCTGGAACTGGGATTTACACCATTTGCTCCCCTGATTCTCAGGACTTCAGGTTTAGGCTGGACTATACCACCAGCTTTCCTGACTCTCCAGCTTGCAGACAGCAGATTGTTATCCTCCAGAATCTCATGAGCCAATTCCCCATAATAAATCATTTTTATATGATATATATATATACTTATTCCCCCACTGGTTCTGCTTCTCTGGAGAACTCTGACTAATAATACACACACAGCAAAGATTAGAATACAGTAGAGACAAAGGGGAATCTGTCGGTCAATTCTCTTATATTCTTCTATTGCAAACTTTCTTGTTGGGACTTCCATTTAGTTCATCAAAGGACTGTGGCTAATGACATAACTTATCACTAGGTATCTTAAACCACTCTTACATCGTGTCAAGCATATAAATCTAATAGCAGTCCAATTCTAGAATTAATATATAAAAGCTTTGTTATTCAAAAACCAAATTGAAGTTTTACATGGTAAAATTGTTAGGTAGCAGCTAGGAATGAGCTGCCAGAGGGGAAATAAAGGCAGGGTCCTCACCATTATAATCTAACAAAGATCTTTATACAGGAGGCTAGAAGCAAAAGGAAGACGTGTCTCACCAATTGACTCAGCAGTCCTGAGCTCGGTTTGATAAAATTGCTGGGTGTCCCAAGCATCACAAGTAGAATAGCGCAGGAGAAGGAGAGTCCTTGAGACTGTGCTGAGGAAAGGGGCTTCTGTGACAATCTTACAAAGATTGCCGGGTACAGGAAGAGGGGGCAGTGGTTGAGATTCTATGCTGGGAAAGGAAGCTCCTTTAACAATTTCAGTAACTAAAACAAAGAGCCTTTACTAACTGAGAAAGAAAGCCTTTGTAGTTGTACATTATTCCCAAAGAGAGAGGAGGGAGAACCTAGAAGCCATCTAAAGTATATAACCCTTAAGTCCCAATAGTCAGCCATACTTAGATTAGTGAAGTACCTGCTTGTAGCCTCAGCTCAAGTATCTAGAGCAAACTCACTAACTTACTAACAAACTTACTAACAACTTTATTTTCCCTACATGTGGGGTATTCAGACTAGCTGGGTACCTGCTTGAGGCTTTGTGCTTGTGTGTGATTTATAAATAAACTTGCTACCTCAGAATGGAGGCAGGAAAAGAAGGCCTCATGACTTGGGTCTCTCCCCATCTGTAGCAAAATAACTGTAACCGTTGTCATTGAAAACTAAAACTAATCATTCAGTACAGGATACCAGATAATCTGAAGACTATGGAAAATGTTATATATGAAACAAAATCAGAACACAAAATTGTACCTATATTATTATTTTAACAACATAAATGTGTGCATAAATGTGAAACAAATTAGAAGGGCACACTGAAAGGGAACGTGTTTTGAGGTAATATTTTTTCTTTCTTTTTCTTTTACTTTTTTTTCTTTTTACTTTTTTATGTTTGTGTGATACAAATAGGAGAGAACTGTAGTTATTAATTCTAGCAAAATTCTCGTAGAGATTTTATGATTCGTCTTAAACTAGAACACAAGCACTAAAATCATAGGAGCTACAGTTAATTTTTATTAACTTAATTCAGGTTGTCACTAGAGTCATCAAGGTTATCATAATCAAGTGCTTTTTACATGCCAGGGACTGTGGTAAGCATCTAACATAGATAGGCTCTTCTAATGTTGACAACAGGTTCTATTTTTATCACTTTGTAGAGCATTAATTAGCTTGCTTTATGGTCACAGGCGTAGTTAGTAATGAAGTTAGGGTTTCAATCGAGCCAGCCCCGCTCCAGAGCTGTGGAAGTTAATGGCAGGTATGGTAATCTTCACTGAGCAAATGTAAACTGAGATGACGCTATAACTCTAAAATCTGGAACTATAAATCTGGAAACTTAAGGGGACAAAAAAATTATACACATTTCCTTCTCACTACTCTAGCACAGCAATTTTTAACCCTTTTCATGACACACACAGACTAAAATTCTAAAATTCTACCGAAATTCTGTGGCACACCCAAAAATATATTTTTTGCCAATCTGACAATAAAATAGGTATAATTTTGATTCATTCATACTGGATGACTATTGTTGTTGACTGTTGTCATTTTTTTATTGGACAATCTAAGGGAAAAGAGGTCAGTGCCCCCTGACTAAATAGGTATTGCATGTTTTAAAAACTCTTGCGGCAGTTTAAAATCGCTGCTCTAGCATTCCAATTACACATTGTGTCTCAATTTCTCTGAGTTTAAAAGTAGAGATTTAAGACCACTTTAGAAGTGCATGTTACAGTTCATAACAATGGACTAAAAAGATTCATTCTGTGAAACAGAACTTGTTATTACTCTCAAACTCGTAACTTAGTTCTTTCTGATCTTTCTAACTGTGATTTTAGAGATCACATTGTACTCTACCCTGCGCTGCAATAATCTTTGTCAAAGAGCAACACAGTTCTTTGTTTTGTTTAGTTTACGGCCCGTTAGGTACATGTAGGTGATAAAAATTGAAGATATAGAAACGAGACCAAAAGAAGTGGGGGACAGGGGAGGGAACAAAACGAGCAGTTATGAGATTGAGAAAAAGAAAAGGAAAAGGAAGAGGGGTCTAAATTAGCTTGGAAAAGAAAAAGTGTGCCTGAGTAGGATGGCGGCTCATGAGATCAAAATGAACCTACTGTTCTCTCAGTCCTTGAAACGCTGACCTTGAAAATGTTCTTCAGCTGGTTTACAATTGTCCCTAACTTCCCAGCGACTCCGTTCCTTAATATTCATCTTCATTAGTTGGAGTAGCTACAGCAGACATTCGAAGTTTTCTGAACTGCTGTCGCAGGACTCGAAGCAGCCTTTACTCCTCGTCTTTGGGGAAGGGGGGAGATTGGGCGGAGGGACGTGGCGGCGCTCAAGATTGCCTACATTATTGCCTGTAGGCATGTTGTTTCCTCAAACCACTCCTCATCTCCAAAGTATTTTGACTTTCCAGGTTCTGAGGATTCCCTCAGGGATACAGCGGAGATGGGGACGCTGGGAAAGGCTAGGGTTTTGCGTCTCTCATGGAAGCCAAATATAGAAAAGCAGGAAGTGGGGACCGCTCAAACCGCCAGCCCGATAGGTAGAAACTGAGTCAGAAGGGAGAGGGTGGCAGATGAGACGAGGAGCTTTCAAAAGACTGTTGCCGTCTTGACTGGTTCGCAGACTAGGCAGGGGAGCTACCCAGCAGCAGGTTACCGTGGTAACCGTGAGATCGCGCGAGACAGACTTTGGGCCTGCGCACTGCGGCTGTAGGGCCCTGATCGGAGCCCCAACCCCCGCCACCCTCCCCGCCCCCACCCCCGACGCACATCCTACGCTCCCTTCTGAAGCTTTTTACAGATTGGTCCTGGCTCTGAAACTTTCGGCACCCGCGAAGCAGTGAGCCGACTTTTTCTGTTGTAAGTGAACTAACACTGAAGGATGAAATGTCAAGTTCTCTTGAGTATTTGGGAGGCGGGGCTGGGAGGCCGAGGGCTGTGCGCACGCGCGTGGCGGCCCACGTGGACCCGACGCCGGTGGTAATCGTGAGTGGGCAGGAGTAGGGTGGCGGAGGAACAGGAGGGCCCACCTGGGACGGAATCGTGGCGGGGACTCGCGGCGTGTTGAGGCCGGCGAGCACGCAAGGTCTCCCGGCCTGGCCACCTCTGCCCGGACTGCGTTTTGTCGAGTCTCGGGCCATGGCTCACTCTCGGCGCTCGGCCTAGAGTTAAGCGTCCTTTGGGTACGAGAGATAAGCCTCACCTTGGCCCTTCAGTACTTCACATTCCAGAAGTGGAGTCGGACAACAAAGTCACTGCACCCCGTATGCTCAGCAGTAGAGTGCCGAAGGTCCTAGATACTGGCCCAGCATCTCAAAAGAGATTAACCCTGGGTCAGCGCTGGAAACTCTTTACCCTCAGCTGCTGAATCTAGAAACCCGCAGGCATCCCTGAGTCCTTCCTGTGCTTTACTCCAAGTTGATCACTACATTCTGTAGATTTTACCTCTTAACTGTGTTAACTAGCATGTATTTCTGCCCATCCCTTCTGCAGTGACTCTACCGTCGTTTCTTACCGGGACTTCTCCTGGAGTCTCTTTGCTGCTTCCCTTTTTGGCAGATGATCCTTGCACGCCTAAATCCACAAAGATTTTTTTTGCTGTGCTTTTCTCATCCTGCCACTCCTCAGCTTTAAGGCGGTATAGTTGCTTCCCACTTTAAGGCCTACAAAAGACCTTCATCGCGTGGTCCTTATCTACATTTCTTTATATCTCACTACTCTTTCTAGCATCTGCCACAGTGGCATTGACTTTTTTTAATGCTGTTCCCTAGGCACTCTATTTGGCACTCAATTTGGTAGGCATTCTTCAGATATTTAGTCAAAAGGTCACTTCCTCCAGGAGGCCCTTCCTGACTCGCTCAACTAAGTCAGGCTTCGGCTATATGTTCCTTTAGTATCCTGTAGTTCCCTAACCTGAATGTTTTATTGTATTGTTATTGGGTTGGCCAAAAAGTTTGTTTCGTTTCCATATGATGGCTAGTAGTGCTTAGTTATCTTTAACCTTATTTGAAATAATTTTTTTAGATTGTATTGTGACAGCTGTCATCTCAGCATGCATTTTAAAAAATTACCAAAATCAGTGAATTTTTGTGCAGCCATTTTAATATTGAAGATGGAAGGAATATGCAATTTTTGGCATATTATGCTTTATTCAAGAAATAATAAAAATAATAATAATGAAAAAATGCAACTGACATGCAAAAAAAGGTTTGTGCAATGTATGGAAAAGGTACTGTGAGTGACTGAATATGTCAAGTGGTTTGCAAAGCTTTATGCTGTAAATTTCTCATTGGACAATGCTCCATGGTTGGGTAGACCAATTGAAGTTGATAGCAATCAAATAGAGACATTAATTGAGAACAATCAGCGTTATACCACACAGGAGGTAGCCAACATACTCAAAATATCCAAATCAACAGTTACTGGTGAAAATGAAAAATGTGTATTTTATTTTACAGGAAAAAACTAAATAGACCTTTTGGCCAACTCCAATACCTCCTGATATGCCTTCCTTATAGATTCTAAGCTCAGTGAGGCCTGTGAGTTTTTTCTGTAATACTTTATGGTTTGGTACATTGTGGATAATCCAGAAATACTTGTTGAAGAAAGGGGATTGTGAGGCTGAGGGTGGGCTATTCCAGGCAGAGGGAATAATGTGTATAAAGACATAAAGATGAGAAACTGTTTCAGTGGTGGAGTGTAACGTGCGTGCTGGGGCATATAAGGAGAAAGGCTGGTGGGGCGATGGGGACAGTGTGGAGGACCTTCTGTGTCACCTTAAAGAGTTTGCACTTGATCCTGTAGGCAAATAGAGGCCTCCAAGACATAGCTCAAAAGGCGTCTCAGCAAGAGCTGCCTATTTTTCTCCTCCAAAGCTGTTACTTCTCCTTATTAGTGAGTACTTTGTATTTGGGTTATAGGGCATTGAGATTCTGCTTACCCAAATTTGTTGGTTCTCATCTCCCCCATCAGATTCTGAGGACAGGAGGAGTTAATGCATACTGTGCTCTCTCTCCAGAGCACATAACTGTAAGTATTTATTCTGTGTTATTTGAATGCTAATGCTTTGACTTGCAGTTTGGCAAGAGCTATCAGATCATTTTTGTCTGACAAAAATGCTTGCCTTCCTGACCACCTTCAGCCTCATGCCAGCCTCTGCCAGTCACCCTTGGATTTGCATGAGCTACTTCCTGGTTCCCTGAGCTTGAGGGGAACATGGAGATATTGGGGGCTAGGGAGGGTTGTGCAGTGGGGCTGGTTTGAAGGCAGCAGATACTGAGTCTGTAGCTGTGGACACGATACTGACACAGGTGAGGTCTGACCTTTCACCTCATGGAGCTGTGGAGAAGAGGAAAGGTCCTGTGAGCATTTTTCAGGGCTATCCAGTGTGGAAAGGTCGCCTGTCCTACACCTGCAGTTCCTAATTCCAGTTCTGTATCACATTCATCCAGGCAACTTTTTGCAAGTCCAGATGCCCCAGGTCTATTCTCAGGGATTCCAACTGAGTAGCTGGAATGTAAGGACCAACCATCTGCATGTTTTAAAGGCCACAGACTATTTATGAGGTGCAGCCAGGATTGGGAGAGCATAAAATTTAGATTTAGTAACCAGCTGTGACTTGGAGCAAGGTATTTGACCTGTTGCTATTTCCTCATTCACACATTGGGCAACATTTCACTTTTGTGAGACTCAAGTTAATAGATGGAGCAAGTGCCTTATAAATTCTGACCTTCCACAAAGACACTTGCTCATCTACCTCAGTAGAAAGCCCAGTGAGTGGGAGTTTAATTGGAGGGGACTTAATTGTTAATCCTGCAAGGGGCATTTCAGGGAGGCAGGCCTCAATGGAATAAATGGGGATATCTGGAATGAGAAATCTAGTTACCTGAAAATAGGATAGTTCCACATTCCAGACTTCTCCAGGGCCACCTTATTTAACTTGAGCTTTGCCACATGGGTCCCTGTGGCTCTTAGCTGAGCGCTGGAAAGAGCATGAGGAAGAAAACTGAGGGAAGAGAAAGGACTATGCCGTTAGCTCTGGGAAGGAGAGACAGAATATGCTCCCTAGACTATGATTTTATAACATTTTCCCAGAAAGGCTCCTTCTGGTTATTTTTCCTTAATGGAGTAGTATCTTTAAATTTCATGACAAAATTTCCCTAGTTTTCATCAAATTGCCAGCTGGAGGAGCAGTCAGCTTGGAATAACTTTAGGAAAGGGGACTGTCCACCTGCATATGTATCAAATGTTTTAGGAAGGATATACAAGAAGCTCAGGGTTTAGATAAGGAAAGAGAACTTATAAGAGAGCATGAAATGAAAGTATCATTTCAACTTTTAATCATGTGCATATGTTACCATTCATTAAAAAAAAAAAAAAATCGCACCTAGTTAATTATAAAGGCAGAGACTTCCAGGGCCCTCACAGATTGTGAGCTCTGTGTAGACAGCCATGGGACCAATGTGTGTGGATGTGGAGACTTGTTTACTCCTGAACCCCAGTGCCTAGAACACAGCATGCACTTTGGATATTTCTTAAATGCATGAATGGAAGCCTAACTAGATAGGAATTTAAAAAATGGTAACAAATCTATAAGATTAATACCATACAGTCATTAAGAGGATAATTTTGAACAAGTAGAAACATGGAACAATTTTAATAAATGAAAATTTCACTGAAAAACATTCATATATTGCCTATATACGAATAAAGACCAAGTCATATGAAAAAATGAGGAAAATAAGTTACTTAAAAGAGAGGTTAAGTGTATGGCCACATAATTGGTCCTCTATAATTGGTCCACATAATTAGCCTATAAAGAATCAGAATAAGTACAACCAGGATATTCTTAAGAAATGCATTGCCAGTTAACACTAATTTTCCTTTGCCATTTTGCTTCTCAAGAAGGATTTTCAGAATGGCTGCAGCTCCTCAGGCACCAGGGAGGGGCTCTGTTCGGAAGACAAGACCTGTAACTGTAAAGACATCACTGAACAACCCGTACACTATCTGCTGGAGTGCTCTGGAAAGAGAGGATATGCACTTCATCTTACAAACACTTGAAGACAGATTTAAATCTATTGGGCTTGAGAAGATTGAGGATAAGAAAAGAAGTAAAAAGCAGCCTTTTTTAAAGAAACAAGGCAGAGAGAAACATAGCATAGATGTTGATATGAGTGAGGCTCTGGAGGAAAAACCAGAAGATAACCAACAAGTGTCAGGGTGGACTTCTGTCCATGTGAGGAAACAGCTTGCCATTGGCGTTAATGAAGTCACCAGGGCTCTGGAAAGGAACGAACTGCTTTTAGTTTTAGTGTGTAAGTCAGCCAAGCCTGCAATCATCACCTCACACCTCATTCAGTTAAGTTTAAGCAGGACGGTTCCTGCTTGTCAGGTTCCCCGTCTCAGTGAGAGAATTGCACCTGTCATTGGCTTAAAATGTGTCCTGGCTTTGGGATTCAAAAAGAACACCACTGACTTTGTCAATGAAGTAAAAGCTATAATCCCCAGAGTACCCCGTTTAAATGTACCATGGCTTCAAGACAGACTTGAAGACTCCAGGGAAACTTCAGAGTCTGAATCTTTGGAAAACCAAGACAAAGAGATTTTGGACACTTCCTTTGAAGACCTCTCTAAACAGAGGAAAAAGCCAGCTGAACGTCAGCAGGCTGTAGTGCTACAACCCCTTAAAATAAAGAAACTGATTCCAAACCCTAATAAAAAGAGGAAACCACCCAAAAGTAAAAAAACTATTTCAAAGTAATCTTGTGTAACCTTGTCACTTCATACAATTGAAAGTGAAACCTTGTAAAAAAAAAAAAAAAACCTTGAATAAACTGAGTTACTTTTACGTAGATTCATGGGATATTGGTAATGTGCCTTTCAAGTGTGTGAGACTTTAGACAGCAGAGAGATGCTGAAGCTTAAAGACACTTAAGTGCAGAAAACAGAAGTATATGTATCAAAAGTTTATTGAAAATGTTTATACTTGTGTAAGCTCACTTTTTAAAAGGCTGGCACAATGCTTGTGAGCAAGAACATCTTTCTCTCAAACTTGGAAAATGTACCACAATAAAACATGGTTCTAGTTAGTAGGGTAGATGAAACTGGATTGCGAATTTGTCAGTAGTTTTAAAGGAAAGATATTAAGTGCTAAGTAATAACATTGTCTTTAGAAATAATACATCAGTTTTGATTTCCTGTCGATTTGACTTTCTTTGGGTAGGTATAAGCAAGGGCTTGGGAGAATGGCTTGGTATTTACAGAAAAAGCCAGATAAGGTCTTTTGAGTAGTTAGAATTCACCCTTTTACATGGTTAACATTTCCTTGGAAATTTAACATGTATAAAAAGTATGATGGTAATTGGGTGAAGGGAGGCAGGAACAGAATTAAAACACTGAGGAGCCTGAATTCTCAGAGATGGGTCTGCAATGATGGGCATCCTTCAAGTTAGGAAATGGGGCATAAGTCAACACTCTGTGTTAAAGTGGTTGCTACTACAGTGTGTGTTTGGAAAAGTTACTTTCTCTAATTTAGGGGGACAACTTGCCAAGTTTATTTTCAGCGTAAACTCTGGTTGCCACTTGGATTATGCAGCTTCCACTCTATATTTTACTGAATGCTGTCATGGCCAAAAATTAAAAAAAAGCTCATGAAATACAGCATTTCCATTGATAAAAGGATGCTGGGCAAAGACAAATGCATTTTTTAAAATATATAAAACACTGCATATTATACTGAAATTTAGTTCTAATAGCTACTTTATAAACAATCAGTTTTACTGATTATTTTAAAATATTGATAATTGGTTAAATTTTAGAGCCAACTAATTATTTTTAAATGACTGAGAAAATACGATTTCTATAATAGGAATTTTATAAATGAATAAAGGAACAATGCTATAGTTTCATCATGAAGTAAGCTCGTGACAACTTCTGAATGGCAATTCTGCAACTGTTTGGAAACCAACTTCATATGACTATGCCATAAAAAGTAATCAAACTTAAGTCCCAAATGAGCCTTGACTCCAGAATAAGTTAACATCTAATTTACTTAACGCTGGTATCTCAAAGAAGTTTCAGTGAATTGGTTCAGTTTTGCTTCTTGAAGTTTTCATCTGTTAAGTAAGAATGGTAATACAATTGGGTTGAATCATCCTAAACGAGAAGTCTTCCCTTATTTTTTCAAGTACACAGTGCTGTCCTAAATGGCAAGCACGTGTACCCTCTACTGGTAGCCTCAGGGATACCACAAGCCATGGGTTTTTAGGATAATGAATGGCAACCTATAGAAAGTGGCTTTCCATTCCTTAGTGTAAATCAGGATCAACAATTTTTTTTTTTTGTGAGGTCCAGATAGCAAATATGTTAGGCCTTTTGGTTCATATGGTCTAAATTGAAACAGCTCTGCATTCTGTACTGTGAAGCAGCCACTGGCAGTGGATAAAAGAGAGTGTGGCTGTGTTCCAATAAAACTTTATTCATTCATGAATGCTGAAATTTGAATTTCATATAATTTTCACGTCACAAAATGTTATTTTCCCCCAACCACTCAAAAACAAAAACCATCCTTAGCTTGTGGGCTGTACAAAAAACAGGTGGTGGGCTGGATTTAGCTGATGGACCACAGTTTGCTAGCTTTTGCCTGGTAGAAGATGTGACTTTTTATTTAACTACTTATAACATGAAGGAAAAGCCATTATGTCTAAAATAATTACATTTTTCTGGATTAAACAGACTAGGCACTAGAAGAGGGAAGGCAGGAAGAAGTATCTACTTTGTGATATTTGAGTCAAGGCCAGGCTATGTGGCCTCATTTAGCATCTTTCCCCCCCTTGGACTATTGACAATATATGCATTTATGTACACTGTGAAACTTGGTTTTTCAAATTCTGGATAAAAACACCATCAGTAACAAAATTATGAATACTTATTTACAAATAAGACATTTTCTATTACCATGACAGCTTTCATGATAAATTAAAGTCAGCATAAAGGAGTATGTGCAATTCTGCATAAGTAATAAAGACATTCATACTATCAATATCCTGATAGCACTAATAAATTCCACTGGGCATTTCCTTTGACTTTAGTGCTTCCATTTCCTTTTCCTCACATATCCTTGCTGTTGCTGAGAAGAAATGAATTTGTGCAGCAGCAGAAATGTCTAATTAGTCATGGGTGCATACTCTTTCAGGGAATATATTTCATGTTTGCGCAAAACTTTGCTTTTGAACTAATCCACTGACATGTTGAAAGTTAAAGTACAAGTCTGTGTGTTTTACAGTTTTGGCAACTTTGCTTCTGGAGAAATAAATGTACTAGTCACCAGTACATTTTTATCTTGCTCTACAGGTAGATATCCACCACTCATCATTGAGTTATGGAAGTGCTAATTTCAGACATGTTCCCAATAGTATCATGGAAGGTGATATAAGGAAAAATTTCCCAAATGGATCCTTTATTCTGTTACACAAATAGACAGCCACTTGATAAACAGAAGTGCAGCAGTTTTTCTCCACACCTTAGCAAAGATTTTTTTAATACGAGTCTGACTTCTGTTCCATCCATTAAATAGGTCCCTTTCTAGAGAATGGAAAAATAGCTTCTCTTCAAGAGACAGCCAAAGGTTCGAAAATTAGAGGAATGTGCTCTTTGTACCCTTTCATCCCTCTTTCGAATGGGTAAGCCGTGGAAAAAAGAAAAGGAAGAATGTTAGCATTCTAGCTGGAAATACGTAGTAGTGGTCATATATGGATGTTTTTTCATCTTGTCCAGTTGTTACCAACTGCATCGATTTCACTTAAGTTGTGCTTTTATTCTTCTTTGGAAAATAGTTCCAGGAATCATTAAGTAAAGTATTAATAAATGATGGTGTCAGAGTTCTAGAAATGGAAACATTCACCTATTGTAATACAAGTCCAACCTAAAGGGAGGGAAGAAATGGGATAGTAAGAACAGGTAAGCAAGAGAAATTAAATTATAAAGTAGTACAATAGATCTGTATTTTTAAAAAAAACTACTAAAAACTTAATAATCCTAAGGGAAGTATGGGCTTTCCTAGGTAAATTTATTAAGTTTACAAAGGGTATATCAACTTCTCTTACCTTTTCAGAATCTGTTCCTGGACACCTCCAATTGTACAAGTAATACTGTAAATTGCCATCTCCTATACCAAACTTGAGTTTTTCCAAGAATGTCTTATTTTCCATCAAATCTAGTGCATTGAATACATCAAATCCTTTCTGCCAATGTAAAAAGGATTTAAAATTGAAAATTTGAAAAGACTAGAGTGCTTTTTGTACTATGCATTTCAGCATAACATTGAATTCCTTTAATAACCTGTATATGCATTTACAGTAAGATTCAATGTCTGTAATATATAGTAGGTTATATATATATAGGTTAAGAATTCAAAACTGTCTCATACAACTAGCAGTGAATCTGATGGAGTCAGCAAGATTGTCCAGAAATACTGAATCAAAATATAGTATGCTGCTAACAATGACATAGCAAAATCTATCAAGAATTCAGAAAATATTTTGTTCCTGTTTAAAAGAAACAGTTGCCTAGATAGCTCTCTCTCTCTAGAACTATTAGTTACTTGTCTAAGTTCTGATTTAGCTCAAGTTACAGCCAAGAAACCAGAGTTGCAAAAACTTTAATATTATTTGTCTTCAGCTGGTAATGGGAAATAAATTTAGTAAAATTTAATAGTAAAAATCTAATGTCTTTAAAATGTTAGATAATACTATGCAAAATATAATATATTGGGTTGGCCAAAAAGTCCGGTTTGTTTTTTCTGTAAAATGAAAGACATACTTTTCATTTTTACCAATAACTTCATTGATTTGGATATTTTGAGTATGTCGACTATCTTCTGTATGGTAGAACACTGATCTTTTTCTCAACATCTTGATTGATCACTATCAACTTCAACTGATCTACCCGACTGTGGAGCATCGTCCAGTGAGAAATATCCAGCATGAAACTTTGCAAACCACTTTTGACATTTGATCAGTCACAGCACCTTCTCCATACACTGCACAAATTTTTTTTTCATTTCAGTTGCATTTTTACCTTTCTTGAAATAATATAATATGCTGAAAATGCTGCATACTCTTCCATCTTCAATACTAAAATGGCTGCACAAAAATTCACCAATTTTGATGTTTTCTTTTTAAATACATGCTGATATGACAGCTGTCACACAAAAAAATTTTAACAGAATTGTTCTGAATGAAGTTAAAGACAACTAGGGCTACTAAAGCTATCTTATGGGAAAACAACTAAACTTTTTGGCCAACCCATTAAATGAAGCACCTGCATTTCTATTTCTCAAGGCTTTTACCTTAACTAACGTACAGGACTTTTGGGGGAAGTAATTGAAAATGAGTAATAGGGTCAAAGAATCAGGAAAATGTTGATTCTGGGATCCACTAATAATGGATATATATTTTTGAAAAATCAATGATGAAATACTAGATAAATGAAAGGAAGACACTTTTGATGTGGTGTTCCCAATTTCTCATGAATTATATTTTCTCATATTCAATAATTACATCAAAGTGTATCTGTCTCCTGATTTCAATTTCTTTTTAAAGGAAAATGTTTATTTGTAGCAAGAATTTAACAATTATCCTAACTACTACCCCGAGGAAATAAAAAATATAAATATAGTAAGGCATATTGTGAATTTAATTCCTTTTAAATTCTTTTTATTTGAACAATAATCCCCTTAATTTTAAAAACAAAATCCTTTTGATTTTATAATTCAGGGACCATTTATTTGAATCAAAAAATTTACTGTTGCTAATTCACTGTAAAACAAACACTCATGTATTTTCCTTATATCATGGGATCATGTATTTATATTCCTTATGGGTTTTATATATTCTTATACTGTTTACATTATCTACTTTATATTAAAGTGTCTTTTTGGTTAAGTTGCAATAGAATTAATGATGAAAATAACTACTAAATTATTCTTTTGACTGATGGTCAAAAGTAAACAAGCAAAACAAAAAGCCTCAAATGAATTCTTCCTGTGTGCAAGAAAATACAGTAGGATGCTGTATGTACTTTGAAAACTACATAGGACAAGAAAAAGTGAACTGCTTACCAATTTAGCTATAATGAGCGCATCATTCATGAGGTCTAGCAGGGGCGTCTCCGTGTGAATATTGTAGAAGGAGTAGGCAGCTTTGAGGCTCTTGTGAGCAGGGTGGTGCATGACTGTGGAGGGGAGTGTGTAGAAGCTCAGGAAGTCAGTAAGTTTACCACTGGAGTTCTAAAAAACAAAGTAACAAGGTAAATACCTCATAGAAGTTTTATTCATGCATTTAAGCTAACTTTTTGATCTTTGACTTACACCATAACTTTGTGTAAGAACAAAAAAGAAGCAATTCATACTTTTCCCTTGACAGTCTGATTTGGAGCCCTGTAGAGTATGCTATGTAGATGCTGAGAAGGGCATGGGGTTGTAACCTTAGGCTAAGTGCTCGTTAATGATTTGCACAAAGATCTTAATCAGTAGAAAGGTTTAAAAGGAAAGCTTCCTTTGGGATGACTAATGAGTCTCTCTAGACTTGTGGAAAAGTGATCAGAGTAGAATCACTGTTTTTGCGAAGTAAGAGTGTTAAGGATATGAAGGCTGTCTTTTACAACTAACAGACACTGTACAACATTTAACATCATCTTGGCATAAGATGAGAATTTTATTAGCTTAAAGCAAAGTTGGATAAAGTTTGGAAGCTATTTTTAGAAGCTTGTGAAAGGCATTGGTACTACACCCAAATATACATATGTGAATAACAGAAAATTTGAAGCTATCAGAAATCAAAAGGGATGCAAAAGTAGTATTGATTTCATTATCACTAGTTTACTTTTCAAACAACAAATTTGCCATTATTATTGGGGTTGTTTTAACAGCTGTGGTGGCCTACACAGGTTGCATATAATTCAAACTATGGTATGTTTGAATTATACAACTGAGGAGCCTGGTCCAAATGCATGCTGTTGCTAGTATTTCAGCAGAAAACACAATTCCATAGGGATGGATTACTGGTTTTGGAGTGTTTCTGATTCGTTAAACCTTTTTTTAGACATTAGAGACATTAAGCTAAAGTGATTGTTGTGTTGTATTAGCAGCTCAGTATTAGAGATGAATTAAAAATCTAAACTTTGAGTGTTAACAAAGATTTTCAAATTAAAAAATAATATAACAAAAACACTCACTGGATGGGCTTAATAGTACAGTGGAGGACAGAATCACTGAACTTGAAGAATTTAGTAGATTTTTTACCCAATCTGAACAAAAAAGAAAAAACGGACTGAAAAAATGAATTAAGTCTCGGATCTGTGGGACCGTAACAAAAGAGCCAACACTCTATTCCTGGAGTCCCAGAAGGAAAAGGAGAAAGTGTGGAGCTGAAAGAGTATTTGAAGAAATAATGGCGGATAATGTCCCAGATTTGGCAAAATACAACAGATTCAAGAAGCTGAGTAAGTCTTAACAGGATAAACTCAAATAAATCCACTCTAAGATGCATCATAACTTTTGACTCCCCCGAAACTTAATTACTAATAGTCTATTGTTGACTGGAAGCCTTACTAATGAATAGTCAGTTAACATATTTTATATGTTATATGTATTATATACTATATTCTTACAATAAAATCAACTAGAAAAAAGAAAATGCTATTAAAATCATTAAAAATACATTTATAGTACTTATATATTGGGGGGAAAAACCATATATAAATGGGCCCACACAGCTCAAACCTGTGTTGTTCAAGGGTCAAATGTATACAAGTTATGCTTCAACTCTTTAAGTTTTATAAATTTGCTTTATGAAAGAAACAAAAATTGTAACACCATCTGGTACTCAAGACCCTGATATTTAAAAGTTGAGAATGTAAAAGGACGTTAATGGAAATGAAGTCACTTGAAGTGCCAAAATGTTTATACCAGTAGACTATGATCAGTCACACATGTATACTGTAATACCCAGAGCAACCATCATTAACTACACAAATACATTCAAATGTGCTAAAAATAAATCAAGACAGAATCCTAAAAAATTCTTCAAGCAATGCACAGGAAGGCAAGGGAAAAGAAAAAGGAACAATACCAGAGGGATCAAACAGAAACAAGTAATAAAACGGCAGAGTTAAGCTCTAACATAGTAATTTTCAAATGCAAGTGGTCTAAATATGCCAATAAAAAATATACTGCCAGCCCTGATTGGATGGCTCAGTTGGTTGGAGCATCATCCCATACTCCAAAAAGGTTGCAGGTTCAATCCCTGATCGGGGCATATACCTAGGTTGCAGGTTGGATCCCTGGTAGGGGAGTGACTGGGAGGCAACCTATCAATGTTTCTCTTTCACATCGATGTCTGTCTACCTGTTTGTCTCTCTCCCTTCATTAAAGTCAATAAACATATCCAAGGTGAGGATTTAAAAAAAAAAAAAAAAAAAAGCCTGGCAGAGTAAATAAATAAACATGGCCCCACTACATGCTGTTTGCAAGAAACTTGCTCCAAATTCAATGGCGTAGATAGGATGAAAGTAAAAGGACTACAACAAGATACATCATGCAAACATTAATGTTTAAAAGGTAGGAATGCCTATATTAATATACAATAAAATGACAGGAACAAATAAATTATTAGAGACCAAGAGGGGTATTACATCATGATAAAAAGAATGATCCACAAGGTAGACATAAAGGTCCTAAAGGTGTAAGTACCAAAAAAGACCTCCAAATACATCAAGAAAAACTGACAGAGCTGTAAGGAGAAATAGACAAATATATAATTATAGTTGGGGACTTTCACATCTCTTTCATCAACTAGAACTACTAGAAAGAAAATCAGTAAGAATATTAAAAAATCTGAACATAGTCAACAGGATCAAATTGGCATATATAGAACATTCCACCTAAAAACAGCAGAATATACATTTCGTTAGCACATAGAACATATTAGGCCCATAGGCCATATGGGCCTAAAACAAACCTCAAGAAACCCAACAAAGTAGAAATCATATGGAGTGTGTCCTCCAACCATAGTGGGATGAAACTAGAAATCAACTGGAATTCCCAAAGCACATCAAAATTGAACAGAACTTAAGTAATGCATGAGTTAAAGAGAACATCTTAAAGGAAATTAAAAAAATAATACATAGACCTGAATGAAAATGAAAGTAGAACATACCAAAATATGTAGGATTAAGTTAAAGCAGTAAAGAGAGGGACACTTACAGAAATAAATACTTACACTGTAACAGGGAAAAGGTCTCAATGACCTAGTCCCTCCCTCAAAAAAGAGAGAAAAAGAGAGAAAAAAAATCCCCCCAAATCCAAAGCATGTAGAAGGAAATAATCACAGGATCAGGAATCAATGACACTGAAAACAGGAAAATAATAGTGGAAATCAATGAAACAAAAACCTCTTTCTTGGAAAAAACATCAATAAAATCAATGCAATGCTAGCAAGACTAACAAAAATAAAGAGATGGTATGAGTCATCAATAGAAAGAATGAAATAAGAATTACCACTATAGATCTAGCAGCTATTAAAAGAATAACAAAGGAGTGATACAAACAACTTTCCTCTTATATATTTGACAATTTAGAAGAAAGGACCAATTCCTCAAAAACCACTAACTATTATAAAGATGAAATAGATGATCTGAATAGTCCTTATTTTAACAAAAAATATTCTCTTAGGTTAGATGGTTTTAACTGGAGAATTTTAGCAAACATTTAAGGAAGTATCACCAATTCTATACAATCTCTTCTAGAAAACAGAAGAGGAGGTAATACTTCCCAGCTCATTTTATTAGGCCAGTATTATCCTGATGCTTAAATCACACACAATGAGAGTACCAAAACAAAAACAAAAACAATGAAAAAAAACTCAAAACCCATCAGACCAAATACGAACTCAAAAAATACTCAACAAAGTATCAATCCAAATTAAAAAATGTATAGAAAGAATTATACACCATAACCAAGTGGACTTTTTCCTAGGAGTGCAAGGGTGGTCAAACATTTGAAAACCAATCATTGTAATATATCATATCAACAGACTAAAGAAGAAAACTCATATGATCATTATCAGTTGAAGAGTGAAAAGCACTAGGCAAAATTCAACACCCATTCATGATAAGAACTCTAGGCAAACTAGGAATGGGGGGGAATAATTGCAAATTGATAGGTGCATCAGCAAAAGTTCTACAGCTAAAATCATACCACATGGTGGAAGTCTCAATAATTTCTGCCTAATATGAAGAAAAAGGCAAGGATATCAATTTTCACCACTCTTATTCAACAAAGTATTAGAAGACTTAGGCCCTAAATAAGGCAAGAAAAATAAATAAAAGGGATACAGATGGGAAGAGAAGATATAAAAATGTTCTAACTCGCAGATGACATGATTGTCTATGTAGAAATCCCAAGAAAACTACAGATAAACTGGAATAAGTGATATATTGCAGAATATAAGATCAACACAGAAAAAGCAGTCATATTTGTATATATTAATGATGAACACGCAGAAACCAAAATTAACCGTGTGGAGGTCTAGGTCAAAAAGATTACAGTGTAGGTTGCATGTATCCAAGAGATACATTCATTACTAGTATGTGCTGAAATGCAAATAAATAAATTAAAAACACTGCAAATTATATAATGAAATACATGATTTTTATTGTTACAATCTAGAAATTATTAAACAAATATAAAAACAAAGAATAAAAAATTTTCTTTTCAAATTACGAAAACATGGGTTATTGCTAAAAAATATAACCAAAAAAAATGTCTTTAACATTAATTAATAAGAATCTTCAATGTTGGCTTTGCGAAATGCTGTAACAGCCATCACAAACAATATTGCTATGCTCAAGGCATAAATACTTTTCCTAACACTTGCAAAAATATTTTGATAAGCAACTCATTTTGGATGCACAACACATATCTTTTTCTGCTTGTCCAGGGAGCCGTCATTTGCATTTCCTTCTATCTGTGTTTGAAATTGATAAAGTTTCAGGTGTAAAGGCTTATGCACACCTGCAGAGATTTCTGAACGCTTTTTTATTTGTTCTGACACAAAGTGCATGAGATTTCTAATAAATATTCTGTGCCTTATTTTCACACTGCTGTTCAGCAAATGAATAGTCTGAGCATTTATTCCTGCAATATTCAAAACTGTGCAGAACATAACCACAGGCCATCTTCTGGTGTTCCTGACCACATTATATGTACCTATCATTTTGTCCTCAGCG